CGCGTTATGGGCCTTGCAGTCTCGGGTGAGAGAGCCTTGTGGCTAAACCTGTCAGGCCTAGGTGATGCTCAGAAGGCTGAGGTCATGGATGCAGCCTATGACCCAACCAAGGGTCTCTTTGGCCCAGCCCTGGAGAGAATGAGAGAAACAAGCACCCGCAGAAAGCAGGAGGGAGAAGTATTCAACCTCTACTTACCCAGAAAACCTAACTCTCAGCCCCAGCAGGTGCCAAGAGCTGGCTTTGCAGCAACAGCAGCAGCTGTGAGAGGGAGACAGAGTGGGGTCAGAATGCAGAGAGGAGCAGGAGGCCAGCAGGATGCCCACCAGGCCAAGGTAGAGAACCGAAGACCTTGGGGCAAGCATTCCTTTGCAGCAGTTGCTGCAAAGAACAAGCCGTCACACCCCGGAGAGGGGAAAAAGAAGCGGTCAGCCTAGCACACCTGCAGCATTCTGTGTCACCCCTCTTTTCTTCCCCAAAGAGAAGGAAGGTTTTAGAAGGGGTAACCAAATCACTCCAAAGTTCAGGGTCTCCGGAAGTTTCCAGTTCACCAGGAGCACCCTCTCAGTCTCCTCCTGCAGTTCAGGGAGGACAGACTTGTGGACAAATGGCGCAGTGTCACCAAACACTTCTAAGCACTCTGTCTGTGTCACCAAGCACTGCCCAGAGTCATCAGACACTTCACTGTGGTTTGGGGGTAACAAAAGAAATAAAACTTGCATTTCTGCAGCCAGGCAGTTTGCCAAGGGCAGAATGTCCCCCAAGTTTCAAAATAAAAACAAAAGAAAATCACTGCAATTTGTCTTTGTTCCCAGCGGGGGGAGCTCACGCTCTTCCCGAGGGGGAGAGCCCCAACTCTTTCCGGGAGACAGGGGTGACGTCACGCTACCGCGTCTTCAGAGGCCTGCTCGCAGCGCGGCTGGAGCGGTGGCGCGCATGCGCAGTTCATCCCTGAGTCTTGTCAACCATTTCCCATGGTTACAGACTACAGTTTGCGGCAAAACCACCGAGATTTGGCGGAGTGTTGGCTTCTGTGGCCAGTCGTGATTCAGCCAATGTGCTGGAGGAGGAAATATCCTCCCTGTTACACAAACAGGCGATTGGAGCGGTTCCGAGCGAAGAAGCTCAGCAGGGCTTTTACTCCCGAAAAAGGACGGAACATCGCTCCGTCCTATTCTGGATCTGCGTGTGTTAAACAAGCATTTGAGAAAGTACACGTTCAGAATGCTCACACACAAGACGCTTTGCCGCTCAATTCACACAGGCGATTGGTTTGTTACAATCGACCTATCAGACGCATATTTTCACATCGCCATTTATCAGGAAATATCTCAGGTTTGCTTATCAGAGCGTAGCATACGAGTTTAAAACTATCCCATTCGGGCTATCCTTAGCTCCAAGGGTGTTCAGCAAATGTGTGGAGGCAGCGCTGTCTCCGTTAAGGAACAGCGGCATCAGAATATTCTCTTACATAGAATATGTAATATGTAATGTAATATGCTCACGATCGCGCGAGCAGGTGATCAAAGACTCCGAGGTGGTAGTGAATCACCTCACGGAGCTTGGGTTCACAATCAACCTGGAAAAGAGCCACTTGGAACTCGCACAGTTTACAGAGTATCTGGGGCTCAGAATAGACTCCATCTCTTATCGTATCGCACTTTCAGAGCGGAGGATCGCATCCTTCACTCACTGTCTTTCCCGTTT